CAGTGGTTCGCACTTATACTTCCCCAGTTTGGTTTCAGATTCAAACTCAAAAATTGACATTTGCACCTTTACTTTTACAGAGTTTTTATGTAGTAATTAGTTGTAGTGTTTATTATTTAGTGTTGTGATAGAAAGATAAGATTTGTTAACAGTCAGTGAATTGTTTTTATTGCCTATACGCTGGCGGCTAAGGTTAGTTTTACAACACTGGTGGCAAAAATATAACTGTAACATATAAGGAACAAACCCATAGTTATACCCGGTTTTATAACACCCGCGCTCTCCAGATCTTAAAGGCCTTCCTGCCAGCCATGATGGCCAATAACCGCGGCCACATCGTCACCGTCGCCAGCCTCTGCGGCTACTTCCCGGTCAAGCGGATGGTGGACTACTGCGCCAGCAAGTTCGCCGCCGTCGGCCTGCACAAGACGCTGCGGCTTGAGTTGCTGCTGGAAGGCTACGACGGCATCAACATGACGCTGGTCTGCCCGGCCTACGTCAGCACGGGAATGTTCGAAGGCGTGACCGCAGAGTAGGCAACGTTACAATATTTGACACCCAAGCTGACTGTAGGAAATATTTGCTGCGAATTGCACTTCGGCCAAAATTTAACGAGCTTCTGCAGCGTAAGCATTTTATCTGACGTCACGAATTGGAGGTCATGTCTAATTTGCTTTGCTTTCGAAGTGCAAACCGATTTCAAGGCTTTAATATGCCTTTCCTTGTAGATTTAGAGAGTGTAGAGTAGCGCCAACTTCAGACTTTGGAACCAAAATGGCTGTCCATTATGTGTAAAGTACGGCATACATCTATATTGTGTGCTACTGATGCATAATCAACCATTCTGGCTCCAAAAAACGAGACACTCATGTCGCGACTCTTTCTATAATCAGCTTTAACTAGTGCCGTGAACACTCTCGACATAATACAGTGGCGCCGGCTGCGCCTTCTCGGGATCCGCTACTATTTTCATTACGGGTTGTAACCAAAAAATTTCATTTGGGTTTATCTAGGGAAAGACAGATGGGAATAACGGGCCGGTGGCATTTTTTTAAAGCAAGACGACATCTCACGACACCAAGATTAGTTCGACACAACACCATCTAAAACTGGTGATTTTTGTACATTCTCAGGTTCCTAGCCCCAGAGTACGTGGTTTCACAGGTAATGGACGGTGTGCTTCTGAACGACCAGACTGTGTTCGTACCAAGATACGCCCCAATTATGATGTTACTTGATATGTAAGTTTCCTTGGAGCTTTTTTCTAAGTTTAAAATTTAGTATGGGGGGTAGTTTGGGTGAATAAGCCTTTGCGAGTTAAATTTGAATAAAATCTAGTACACTGAGTTTTTTAAAATTCATGTGAAAATAACAATTTGAATTCTCCACGCTGAAGACACTGTTGCTATACCTCGTGATTCGGGGCAACCTTTTGATCAGTTACATAAGAGACGCCTTGCAACAATACACTGTTCTCAATGGATAAGAAGGGCACAAAGGAACCAGTCCATTCCAGAGATGGTGGTCGCTATCCAAAAGTTTGCCCCGAATCAAGAGGTATAGCAACAATGTCTTTAGTCTGGGAATTCAAATTGTTATATGCAATGTGCAATAAGATAACTCACTGTGCCAGATTTCATTCAAATCAAACTCACAAAAGGCTTATTGTCGACAGCAAATGACGTTGTAAACTGCAGCGCGCGCTTCAGTGGAGCACAGTGGTTGTTGGCAACATGAACCATTTCGCGCTAACGGAGATCAAAAATTTGCAATTGATGGACGCATGCACAGAGATGGTGAAACATTTCTGGATTTTTTTTGTGCTGGCCGACTTGAATTACAACACTGTATACTCAGTGTTTGCCCCCGAAGGCTTGTGAAACAATCACAAGCGTACTCAGGTGGGACTCGAACCCACGACTTCCTGCAGACGTCTTAACCACTCAACCACTGAGCTTTTCGGTGTCCGCTGGCTGGTTCGAGTCAGATATAGCAGCAGGTACTGCAACAACTATTTCAAAGGATCAATGATTAAATGATATCGCGCGTATTCCTTTCAGTTTAAATGCTGGTCAGATATGGGAGATCTTATTCTTAAACCCTTAAAACCGAGTTCCAAAGGACTATAGAGGCTTTGCGTGGTAGCCATCATGAAGGGCAGTTCCTTCGTTCCACAGGTAAACCTCCTCGGTACATACCCTGTGGAACAAAAACACTGCCCTGTAACATGGCAGCCTTGCAAATCGTCCATTGGCTTATAATTATTTTATTACAGTGTCGATACTTCTCTTATGACCCTCAATAGGATAGTGCCTGAAGAGCTCAGTCTCATGGCCCAACGAAGCAGTGGTATGGCGGCAAGCATGGACACCTTCACCGGGCGGAACAAGAACGACTGAGACGTCATGGATCCAAACGAATGACGTCACAGGGAACGATGCTTCAAGTAGCAAACGATTGGAAAATCGTCCTTTCCTACTTTAGTCTTCAGCGAATTTGTAGTATTCATTTTATTGGCAAATATCATTCTAGCTTGTAAAAAAGAGATCATGGCAGCCTTTTAGAATAATCGTGGGTGACAAATCCATGCTTTGTTTAATATGAAAATACGATCTTAACTTTTAAATATCGTAAAATTGATATTGCAATAACTATATGCGTTGTGGAAAAACATTGTAAGATTTGAGATGGAAATCTTACATGCGCTCAGCAAATCTTCATGTACAGTTCCCAAGACTGATTGGCTTTTTTTTTTATTGATGAATCGTGTGAAGCTTTTCTTTTCCAGTCCATAGTCCACCATGAGCAGTCTCCCCCATCGGTTGAAAAGAGCCATTTTGGTCGAGGGTAGGCTATTCTTTTTGCTGGTAGCAATGCAACCGTAACAAGTGCATTTCATAGTCGTTTGTAAACCAGCGAAGTGCTGCTCCGACCAAAGGAGCTTCCGTCGCTAAGAAAATTGCGCCCTCTCTTGGTCCAGCTCGGGGCTTATAACCCGGTTGTATTCGGCTCTTACAGCTTCATTCTTTACTGTCATCTTTATGTAGAACAGTGTGTGGTTGTTCGTTCATCAAAACGGAATGTTGAGGTTCCTCGGGTTTAACTGTTTTTCCTCAAAACATTAGCAGCTACAGAAATGCTGAAATAAAGTTGAGTATTTGAATTCACAACGAGGTTTGGTCAGAGGTATTTGTCGTTGTTTGTAGTTGCCAGTTGGCAAACTAAATTCTCTTAGTGCCTGCACAGGGGTAATCCTTTGGGAACAAAGCAACGGCTCAATGATGATCTTCAAGAATCTCAATACGGGCGGTTCACAAAAGTGCACCTCCAAGAGTTTGCAACGCGTTGGCCAATCACGATGCGCGAAATCTGTCGACTCGATGCACGTTTGAAAAGGGTCGACAGATTCCGCGCGTTGTGATTAGCCAACGCGTTGCAAACCCTTGGAAATGCACTTTTGTTTCCCACCGGTGCCATCTCGGGAGGAGGTCAGATGAAATCTTGGTGCATTTCTCTCTCTAGAGAATTACAGTTTATCCAGCAGGGCTGTAGGATAATTGACTCCATTGATTGATCACCAAAACCACTACTCATCGTAAAAACTGCGTGAAACTCAGGCTTTTGTGTTAAGACACGAAATCCGTTTAATAGGAAGCAATGAGCAAAACAATCCTGATGATTATTACAATACAATAGAAAGAATTTGAAAGAAATATTTTGCGTAATTGTAGCTGGTTCTGTGTAACACATACAATTTATTTCTGGAAAACTGATTCTAACACTCACATTTAGATATTTTTCATAAGTGTATTTAGATGGAAACACGAACATCTAAATCTAAAGTGAATAATTAGTTGAAAGTTAATTCAAAGACAATAAGTGATGCGACGCTAATTTTAAAAGATATATACATTTTGGATAGAAAAACCTCTGTCATACTTAAAGCCATCACACTCTAACGGATTTGCTATTGTTATCAGATCTTAAATCGACCCTATTCGACCGTACGGAAGCCATTTTCGATCACGTTCCCTGGATCCATCTGTTTTGGTTTCCATGCCCCATTTTTATTTTTCAAAAAAATGTCGATTACAAAATTCAGTTAAAAATCACAAACTGTAAAGGTATTCATCATAGTATTTTGAAATCGACCCCAGGTCCATCCCAGAAGTAATAATCTCGCTTTGAATTCAACATGACCGACTTGTGAACACTGTAAAAAGAATTGGTCAAACACTGCGCATTTGTTATTTGCCCAACCTTGGTTAAAGTTACCACATTGTTGGTTAATTTCCATCACTGTTGGTCAAACATTGACCAACGATTGGGAAGAATTTGGGAAGTTGATATTTACACTAACATTGGGCAAAATATCAACCCCAAATTAACCAACCTTTTTACAATGAATAAGGTCATACTTGCCATGGTATTTGTTGCCAAATTTCTTCGGCCACATCCAGCTGATAAAATCGTTTTGGCCATGTGCAGTAAGTATGAACTCGTGGAAGTATTGATTCCATCTGTTTGACTGTCAAATTAACACCTCTTTACGCTACTGCTACTATACTATTAAACTTAAAATAAATCCCGCTCTTTTGGCTCTCTGACCGACTGATACTAACTCAAACCATTCATATTCCTTTATATGCCTGTTCTTATTACATCTTGGCTTCAAATGCACGTCGGTTACATACCTTACAAAAATTCGCAGAAACTTTCTTCTTATACACACAGGTACAAACTACACAGATGGAGAAGCGCATAAACATAACATTTCAACTTGCATACAATGCGACAGAGTAAATTTATAGCGGAAGAGATTAAAAAAAAAAAATGGCCGATGTGCTCTCCTGACAAATTGGCAACTTTGTTCTACTTTACTCAACGGTTGTAGAAAATGTCATTCGCACAACCACTATGGTACCCAGCATTTTGATCTTTTTACCCAGCAGCTTTGCGATTCACCTGGGGCTGAGAAAAAGAATGCCACGCGTGTTGACATCGAATTGTTTTTCTTAGAGTACATGTTGTCCTGTTAGAGGTGAACAAGCACGAATTAAATTTACGTTAAAGAATTGCAAATTCTTAATTAACCACTGCAATTTGTGTACTTCTAGAGTTTCGTTGTACGCCTTGGCACAGTTACAAATGGATATTGTTTGGAAAATTACTCCATTTGGTAACAGACTAAAGGGGATACCTTTTCGCACGTTACTTGATGCCCTCATTCAAGGTTATATCAGGTCAAGATTTCTTGCTCTTCGAAATAAAGTAGATCAGACAGCTGAATGCAAGAGCAATGAGCAAAGCACAGACAACAATGGCCGCTATGATCCCTGCAAACCATTGGGGTGTGCTAACGCACAAAGGAATGGCAGATGACCACTGACCATCCGCTTTACAGGTCAGTCTGGAGGACCCTTTCAGGTCAAAGCCCTCGTCACAAGTCAGATCAACAGTTGCATTCACCAGATACACAGACCCTGACATCTGCCCATTCTCTATATCACCTGGGAAGCCACAGCTAACAATCTTCACCAACGAGTTTTGGACTTCAGTAATCGTACCGGTCACAACCAGGGTGGCATTGGCAAAGGACAGACTACCAGTGGTTACTGCATCAAAGACACATTCAACAGAATCACCACATAAGTCTTTGATTTCCTGACTCACTTCGTTCAGATCAGGAATCCCGAAGGTAGGAGAAAATTCAGGAAAGTGATAAGTGCTGTAGTCAAATGGAGATATGTAGGTGAATATGGAGTCCTCTTCTTTGACCAACCACTCCAGACCAAACTCATGAAGTTCCTTCAGCGATGAACCAGAATCCATGATGGTTCCATTTGGGAACTGGAGGTCATCGTCCGGGTTTCCATTTAGGTTACCAAGAAGCCCACTAACTTGACCCTGAAATTTGGTGTCCAGCTGAACAATGAAAGACATCATCTCAGTATCAATGTACACGATGATAGCTATGCCGGCACTAAATGCGATGTTCATTTTGGTCAGGTCAGAGTTGAAGCTGATTC